AAAGTGAGAGAGAGAGAGAGAGCTTAGGTGGTATAATGTTTAAGGCATTTGGCTGCTAACCAAAGGTTGGCAGTTCAAACCCACCAGCCACTCTGCAGAAGAAAGATATGGCCTTGGAAACCCTGTGGGGGCAGCATCTTCTCTGCCCTCCTCTAACTTCACAAGTGGGAGAGAGAAAGATCAATACCAACAGCCCAAAACTGATTCTTATGGGCCAGAAATGCCACCAACCTTCACTCTTTTTGCTAACTCTGACACTAACCTTCCCTCCCACTATGTTCTCTCCTTCTCTGCTGTGTTCAATAATTCGTTGCAATGGCCATAGAGAAGTCACAAACAATACTCATGATTATGGGGTTTGTTAGGGAAGTAAGAAGCTACAATTCAGGTTCAGGAATATGCTCAGAATATAATTCTTTGATAAGGAGTCTTCCTTCAGTCATACCTGTCTGGCTTTTGACCTCTTGGCCTGGCCTCTGCCCTGCTTGGTTATCTCTGCCAAGGAGATCCAGTACAGGCATCTCAGGTCCAAGGGCATGCTTCACTTCACCTCTGCCTCTTCTCCCTTGATTGCAAGAGATCCCCCTTCTGCCTCTAGGAGGGCTCATTTTAAGGCTAGCAGAATGACAAAACTGACCAATCCACACATTAGGGTCCCACACATCTTATTTGCATGGTCCCACCCCCACAAGGGTGCATGTACCTTATTTACATTACTTAAAATCTATCCAATCCCCTTGGTGGGCCATAAGCATCTTACATTTGCATAGTTGCACCCAGTCATCTGGTGGGAGTCACAAAGACCATGGCCAGGGGAGCCATATAGAGTAATACAATGTACCACAGAAACACAATGGGGGTCACTATGAGTCTGAATTAACTTCATGACAGTGAGTTTATTTTTTAAAATATATACACACATATATATTCATATCTGTAGTGCCTAAGGCATTTGACTGCTAACCAGAAGGTTGGTGGTTCAAACCCTCCAGCTGCTCTGTGGAAGAAAGATGGGATGATTTACTTCTGTAAAGATTTACCACCTCGGAAACCCAATGGGGGTCACTATGAGTTGGAACTGACTCGATGGCAGTGAGTTTGTTTTTTCTGGTGTATGTGTGTATATATATGAATATGTGTGTGTGTATGTACATATGTGTGTGTGTGTGTGTGCATTCCTGGAATCTATCCAAATTCATTTAGAACAAAATACTAAACTAACTTTGCCTATTTTTATAGAGATAGTGGACTGATACAGCTGTTTTAAGTTGTCATACTTAAAACTCAGCTCACAGCCACCCTATGTTGCTGTTACCTATGCTACAGAAGAGAACTACTCCACAGGGTTTTCTTGGCTGTAATGTTCACAAAAGCAGATCACAAAGAATTTCTTCTGTGGTGTTGCTGGATGAGTTCAAAGTACCGGTTTTTTTTTTGGTTAGTAGCCAGGAGCAAACCATTTGCACACCCAGTAACTTTTTGTACTCATTCTTTGGGGGGGAGTTAGGTACCATCGAGTCAGCTCCAGCTCCTAGCCACCTATGTATAACAGAATAAAACACTGTTCAGTCTGAGCCATCCTCACAATATTTGCTATACTTGAGCGCATCATTGCAGTCACTGTGTCAATCCTTCTTGTTGAGGGTCTTCCCCTTTTTCACTGACCCTCTACTTTACCAAGCATGATGTTCTTCTCCAGGCAGTGGTCCCTTCTCATAACCTGACCAAAGTACTAGACACAATGTCTGGCCATTCTCTCTTCTAAGGAGCATTCTGGCTGAACTTCTTCCAAGACAAATTTGTTTGTTTTTTTGCCAGTCCATGGTATTGTCAGTATTTTTCACCAAAACCATAATTCAAAGGCATCAACTCTTTTTTAGTCTTCCTTTTTTGTTGTTCAGCTTTCACAAGCATATGAGGTGACTGAAAATACCATGGTTTAGGTTAGGCACACCTTAGTCTTCAAAGTGATGTCTTTGCTTCTTAGCACTTTAAAGAGCAGATTTGGCCAGTGCAATACGACCCCTGATTTCTTGACTGCTGCTGCCGTAAGTGTTGATTGTGGATTCAAGTAAAATGAAATTCCTGACAACTTCAATCTTTTCTCTATTTACTGTGATGTTGCTTATTGGTCCAGATGTGAGGATATTTGTTTATGTTGAGGTGTAATCCATACTGAAGGCTGTAGTCTTTGATCGTCATCAGTAAGTGCTTCAAGTCATCTTCACTTTTAGCAGGGAAGGTTGTGTCATTTGCATACTGCAGGCTGTTAATGAGTCTTATTCCAATCCTGATGCCATGTTTTTCTTCATATAGTCTAGCTTCTCTGATTATTTGCTCAGCATACAGATTGAATAAGTATGGGGAAAGGATACAACCCTGACTCACACCCTTCCTGATTTTAAACCAAGCAGTATGCCCTGTTCTGTTCATATGAGTGCCTCTTGGTCTATGTACAGGTTTCTCATGAGCACAATTAAGTGTTCTGGAATTCCCATTCTTTGTAATGTTATCATAATTTGTTATGATTCACACGGTGAAATACCTTTCGGTGGTTCATAAAACATAGGTAAATATCTTTCTGGTGTTCTTTGCTTTGAGCTAAGATCCATCTGACATCAGCAATGATATTCCTCGTTTGAAACTCTCTTCTGAATCTGGCTTGAAGATTGGGCAGTTTCCTGTCAATATAAGGCCACAGCTGTTTTTGAATTATCTTCAGGAAAATTTTCTTTGTGTGATATTAATGATATTGTTGGATAATTTCAACATTCTGTTGGATCACCTTTCTTTGGAATTAACAGAAATATGGATCTCATTCAGTTGGTTGGCCAGGTAGCTGTCTTCCAAATTTCTTGACATAAATGAGTGTGCACCTCCAGCACTGCATTTGTTGAAATATCACAGTGGGTATCCCATCAATTCCTGGAGCCTTGTTTTACTTCAGTTACCTCAATGCAGCTTGGACTTCAATACCATTGGTTCTCGATCATCTGTTACTTCTTTTTAACAACAACCAATTATTTTTGGTACAGTGACTCTGTGTATTCCTTCCATCTTCTTTTGATGTCTCTTGTATTGTTTAGTATTTTGCCCATTGAATCCTTCAATATTGCAACTTTAG